AAAGATCAAAACCATTATTATAAATGGTCAATAGAACTAAATGGGAAAGCCCTAATATATGGAAAAATTCCAAAAAAAAAAAAGAAACATTTTAGACAAAAGAATAATGATAAAACAGAATTAATCTTTCGAAACTCATTTGAAGAACTAGGAAAAGGACTTGGAATTACTACTGAAAAATTAGAAAATTTAATATCTGAATTCCATGAAAACTGGAGAGAAATACTATTAAGAAAACAAAATGTTCAAGAACAAATAACATATTTATCTAAAAAAGAATTAAAAATAATAGAAAGAACTTAAGCTATTTTGAAAAACAAAAGGATAATAGAAACCTAGAAAAGACTCTAGTACCAAATGGAAAGTATGATCTATTTGATGAATATTTAGAAAATAATTTACTCAAAGCAAGAATAATTGCAATCGGAGGAGCAATAAGAGTAGGAAAAACAATATTAGCCCTAAAACTCAAAGAGTATCTTATGAAAATAGGACACAAAGTATTCCTAATGGAAGAAATAACCTTACAACATAAAGACTGGTTATCTATAATGTATTCAGACCTTGAAAAATACTCAGTGGCATTCCAAATATTACTCATAACCCAATGGAATATTAATTATCAAAAATTAAAAAGACTAGAACTCGAAGGAATACTAGATGAAAATACTATTATAATCTGTGATCGAACAGCAGTAGAAACACAAGTCTTTACCAAGAAAAATGTAAAAGAAGAAGAAGCAGTAACAGCACTTGGAAAACTGCTTAAACAAACTGAAACGCAAATATTTAAGGATACATACTATCAACTATATATCAAATGTGAAAAAGAAGAAATGATTCGAAGACAGGCCACAAGAAATCGACAAGAAGAGAGAGATATAGATAAACAATATCTATATGATATATACGATATGTATGAAGAAATGATAGGAATAGTATATCCAAGATATATTGAAATATCAACAAACATATTAAATCCAGAAAATATGTTTAGATCATTATTTATACACGAAGCAAAAGGATTAAACAGACCAGAGGAATTGACTTTCCTTAAAAAAATACAGATTGATATTAAAAAATCAACAAAACGACAGTATACAATTGTAACAATCTTCTGAGAAGAAGAATTAATAACACAACCGATCCAAACCCTAGCAGCCAAACGGTCAAGAAATGCTAAAATATATCCTGAACAATACACAGGATTTGGAGGACATCTAGAAGAATATGATAAAACATATTGGAATTGCATAATTAGAGAAACACAAGAAGAAATAGGATTTCAACTAAAACCAGAAAGATTACAATTCATACGAACACATGACTATTTATCTAAAAACAAATCAGGAACAGATCCTATTACCAACACCGATAGAAACAAATCTTTTGAACTAATATATTATATAGAAATAGCAATGTACTTATATTTAGCATTACCACACGAATGGAATAACATCAAACACAAAGAACCTGAAAACATGAGTAAACCTCAATGGATGACAAGAAACCAAATGAACTATCAAATATGGACACCATCCATTCAATATTATAAAGACCAACTCTTTGACGAGTATATACCACAATACCTTGAAGAATGGACTAATTATGAAAAGATTACCAACAATCTATTCCAACAACAATTTCCAGATAAAAAAATTCCAAATGAATACAAAACACCATATGATGGTGACAAACAAGAGATTATGGCAGAAAAGCCTAATCACCTGTGAACGCTTTATCACAATTCACCGCCAAGAGCTCTAGCACAGCATCCGGTGCACATGGTATCAAAACCTTGAAAATTTCCGATCATGCCCATTACACATAATGCTCATCACACATAAGAGAATACGATTACCAAAATTGGCAAATCTTGGAATTACCAAAATCGGTAACCCGATTATCAAAACAACATTCTTATTATTAATCTTATATTATTAACCTTCGCTTATAAATATCCTTTACAAATCAATATTATTAATTAGCTTATTAATCATATTAGTCATATATTAGTCATAGCTTACAAATAGCCAGTTATATTAGTAATTTAGCTTACAAATCTTTATAGCATAGTCTTCTTGAATGTATTTAAACAATAGCTTTTGACTTTTTAACTTTAGCAATTTTAGATTCAGCTCAGCGGGTTTACACCCCCTCAAAAGGCCTCCTAAATAGCTCTATTACAGAAAAACGTCCTCACCAAACAAAAATAACTACAGATGCACCCAACACACTAAGAGTTGTGCAAACAACCACCTCTTAGAAAAATAGCTCTATTAACACTTAGAAAAAATCCTCAATGCGCCTAACGACTTTGAATTTAAAAATTATAATCTCAGATTTAGCTCAGTAGGTTTATACTTTGCAAAAAACCCTAGCAAGTTTTACCTCTCAACACAATCCGAATTTGGATTTTGCCCAAAACATCCTCACGACTAAAAAATTCAAAGACACCCAACGTATTCTAGCCTAGCAACCTCTAATGCTAAGTTGAATATGCGCCCAACAACGATGAGTGAATTATAACCTAAAATTCCTTACAAACGAAGAACTCTCAAATCTGAACTATTAATTTGGAACTCAGATACGAGTAACTAAACACACAAAGACATTGAAGAAAAGCAAAAGAGCAATACGTCTAACAACAAAACTAACTCACCAAGAGCCAAAGAAGCTCATAAAGAAACGTCCTAAGGAAAAAGAAAACCCTTAATAGCGCCCAACAAGAGTGAACCATAGAAACACTCAGAAGAACAAATGCCTAAACACTTATAAAAAGTGGCAGGAAGAATTAATAATCAAACCCTGCAATGACATCCAACAAAAAGAATAACACATGAGAAGGGAAGGAAAAGATTAATAGCACCCAACTTATAAAACAAACCTGATGTGCCCAACATACAACGGTTACCAAAACCAATCCACAATGTGATAGCGATCTGACAAACCTCATATGCCCAAAGGCATCCAATGAGACTACAGGAGTCCAGACATGGCATCGAATAATATTAAAGAACAATAATATTATTGTTGCCTCTTTACAATCGATACTAAACAATAGGTGCTCACATAAAGATTGTTCACAAAAGAACAATAAAATAAAAATGACGCTCTACAATATGATAAAAATCATATTATATTCACAATATAAAAGGGACGACATGGAAACAAAAGACATTCGGGAACAGAACTAAAAGCTAAAAGATATAACATTAAATATTAGTATAGTACTTCACTAAATAAATTTAATAAAAACCAATTTATTAAATACAAGCCTTGTGCAAGTAAATAGTATAATCCTATAATCCTTCTACATAAAAACATAAACATAAACAGTAAATAATCTAACACCAAAGTAATAAAAGCTTAGACAGCTTAATGCCCAAGTAGAGGCATAGTAGTAACCAAGTAGTACCTCAGAGACTTTATCCACCTCTGAATAGATAATTAACAAAACCATTCCACAAGAGAAGAGCACGGCCTAGCCCACCGTGAAAAGAAATTAGTAGCGCAAAAGGCGCTCAACATACTAAAACCACATCCATACTAACAAAAATTATAACAAAAAGGCATACAGAAAAGAAATAAATTATACAACTATCCAAACCAACTTACCAAGCAAACGTATTGCAAAATGAATAGAGCTTAAACAACTCTTAAGCAAGTACGATTGAAGGAAAGCTTACACTAATTCAGAAGATTAACTATAAAAATCAACCTAATCTGATATCGACGACCAGTAAGGCTAAAAAGGCTAAAACGAAACCTTACCGTTGAAACTAGCAGACTGATCATCTGACAAGACAACTATATCGAAACCACCAGAAATTAGTAATTCAACAATATGAATGCGAAACTTATTATTACAAAGCAAAATTTCTTAATAATCTTTACATTAATAATTTGCTTACAAACCAAAATCTCCAAAACTGACATAATAAACGTAACAGTTGCCTTACCAACAAACACTCAAGTTGCCACCACAATAAGTGCTATTGTAACCCAAACATCTTTGATTACAAATCAACCAGACTTCTTGCAGGACAAAGAAGCTGTAAA